TGCGTGCACCCGGGCGGGTTCCCCGGCCCCCCGCCTGCAGGGCTTGCTTTCGGGCGCTGCTGTATCATCGTGCCCTCTTAATCCGATCTGCCTCGTCTCATGACAAACTAGCTTCGTACCCAGCGCTGGCGTCTCGTCTGCCTACTCTTTTATTTACTAAGTGGGAAGTACCCCATAGCCCCCACCAGCCTGTGTGTCTGACAGGTACCGCACCGCAAGTAATCGCTCAGCATTTCTTGTCGGCGAGAATCAAGCCCTTTATTTGTAGTAGTAAATTCAGTCTCTGCTAAAACATGGTCTTTGTTGAAATTGCTGCAGAGCTGCTGTTTATGCAGATTCTGGCTTTTATGGAAACACCTGTTTGCTAGGAAAAGGACTGATACAGTTGAGCAGCTGTCAAAAAATAATAGGCTCCTCTCACTACCAATCTGTACAGTGAGACAGCGTGCGCCCTGCTCGCTTCAACTTGCTCCTTCATGTGATTATCCTGCAGAAATTTTCCCACATGACAGCCACCATTTGGCATGGGACAGTACTTTGTTGTATGCGAGTCATTGCTCTGCTGTGAGAATAGGTCGTATCCGACAACTTTGGAGTGTTTGTTCCCAATGTTAAGTTCTTCTAACAGTTTGTGTCGTTCAGTAACTAGTTATTACAATTTTATTGTAGAAACACGAGATTTGTCTTATGTCTTTTGGCAGGTGTCTTGGAGGATTTCACTGTGCCAAGTGGTGTTTTGTTCGCCATGTAAAGACATTCACAAGCTGTCTAGAAGCCTTTTCTACGTTAGTGCTTTATAACCCGGGCTCCATAAAGTTGGGAACATAGAAGAATCTGGAAATGCTGGTGAATTGCTTCTTTTGGGTTTGTGTTGTTTTTTTTTTTATTTTTAAAGAAGGATTTTATGTGCTTTCATTTTATTCGCAGACAAACTGAAATTGCTGCTTTCTCCTTGAAGGTACATCCATTTGTTAATTGTTCTGCTTTCTTCTGGGTGTGTTTTGTCACTCCTCTCTTCAGGCATCACATACACTTTTTTTATAAGTCTCTCCTTATTTCCCTTTTGTTCGTTCTTTTTTCTAGCGTCCATTTTCAGTTCTTCATTTGAGCAAAACATTTCAGGTGTTTCTAAAACAGTTGTTCCTGCCACTTTACCCTAAGTTTATGACCTCTACAGCGGAAGGTCCAGGCAATGAAGTCAGCAGTGGCTCACAGCTAACTGGTAACAGTTAACAACCCAGCACGCGGTGATCATCGAGTTAGTAATGAGTCTTCCTTTAAAAACATACCCTTTAAAATGAAATAGAATATGCTATCTAGTGACTAGAGAAATAATACAGGATGATGTGTATAATTCTGAAATACTGCTCTGTGCATAGATTAATTTCTTGGTAACAGTTGAATACTATTAATTTAGAAACTTGCCTGTTGTGGGCAAAAATGGCTTAACTTGGGGAATTTAATTTAATTCATTGCCAGTTAACATAAACATTTAATTACTGATTTGGCTAGTGAGGTACAAAGAAGACAACCAATTAAACAAATACTAGGGGCAAAACTCCTTTTTTCCCCCTTCCCTTCACTCCTGACACCTCCCCTACCCTGCTTTCCTCCTCTCCTCTCCCCTGGTTGTCCCCATGGGTTACACTCTGTCCCTTGGGCAAGGCAGCACTGGTGCAGGAGGCTGGGGTTGGTGCATGGAGGTTTTCTTTATGCTGCTCCTTCTTTCTCATGTCTTCTGCTCCCATGTGGGCCTCTCCTCAGGCCGCAGGCTCCTCAAGGATGTCCCTGCTCATTATGAGCACCTCCACAGGTTGCAGACCACCCAGGCACGTCCCTGCTCTGGTGTGGAGAGCCTCCTTCCAAGAGTGCATCTCCAGCCACATCCCCAACAGCGTCCCCTTCCCATGTCTTTTAACACGCTGTGATGCGCCACCTCCGGTGCTTCCCATTGCACCTTCTGCCACCGGCAGCTCCTCCCTTTTTTAAATCAGCTGGAGCAGAGGCACTGTGTGCTCATCTGATGAGTTGGAGTTTTGGCAGGCGGTGGTTTTGGTCCATTACGGACCCAGCTGGAACTGGCCGTGACCAGCACAAGGCAGTTGATGGCCTCTTCCCATGCAACCTACCAAAACCTGCGGTGTATTCCTGACACATTGGTGTGCCACTTGGGTGGTGCTGGGAGAAAGGAACTCTGGTGTCCTTTCATAAACATAAAAATAAAACCAAGCTTCTGTGCTGTACCTTGCTAAATAGCAATATTGTGTTATGTCACCAGGTTGGTAACACTTTTACAATTCTATTTATTATTGTCTGCTGAGTAGTTGTGTCTGCTCCTATAGAATTACTGATATCTGGGTTCAGAGGTGGCTGCTTTCCATAATGATCACATTCATGCATGTTTTCATAGTTGGGCTTTTTTGCCTAAAACTTTCTCAAAGACTTAGCTTTTATTTGTTTTTCAGATCTGAAGGTAAAAGTTCTGCTGACGCAAAGGTGGCAGCTCAAGTTGCCAGGGAAGAGTCAGAGCTCCACTCCACCAGCGTGAGTAGTCATGTTCTCAGAGATCATTTCACTTCCTTGGTTTTTTGTTTGTCCCACTCATTCAATGATCTTGTTATCTCATCCCTCTTATCTTTGCATCTGAATTGGTGCCACCTTGACTTCCATCTGGGATTGTGTGTGTTAGAAGAGATGAGATTTCAAGTTTGGGGGAATTGAGCTGTCATCTCTCAATCCTTGCAAGATTGAATCTTGGTAGCCTTATTGCAGCCTGCCAGTACCTAAAGGGGCCTACAGGAAAGCTGTAGAGGGACTGTTTACAAGGGCATGGAGTGACAGGACAAGGGGTAATGGCCCTGAGCTGAAGGAGGGTAGATTTAGATTAGAAGTTAGGAAGAAGTTTTTTACTGTGAGGGTGGTGAGGCACTGGAACAGGTTGCCCAGAGAAGCTGTGGATGCCCCCTCCCTGGGAGTGTTCAAGGCCAGGTTGGATGGGGCTTTGGGCAACCTGGGCTAGTGGGGGGTGTCCCTGCCCATGGCAGGGGGGTTGGAATTAGATGGTCTTTAAAGTCTCTTCGAACCTAAACCATTCTATGATGATTCTAGAACAAGGAATGATCGAGTATAGTCATGATTAACAGAAAGCTTGGGAACAAAAAGTTTCTTAGGCACTAAATTGCTATCAACAGCAGAACCCACATGCACAGAGCTTACTGCAGCTGTGGTAAAAGTTGGCAAGAGTGACGATGGTGGTAAATGTTCGGTGGAGTATTAAATCCTGCTGTTCTATACCCTAACGTGTGTGCTGCCTTGGGTGGGTATTAAGTCCCCTTAACATCTCCCTTCTCTCTTCCTAAGTACATGCTGTTTCTAGCTGTAGAAAATCTTTAACTGATGTTTAACATAAAAATGCAGAAAGTTATGTGATTTTTTTCCTGAACTGTTGCAGGGGGCAGAGTCCTTGGAGTGAAGAGACTATGTATTGATATTGCTCTTAAGCAGACAGGAAATAAGCCATTCTTCTTGCTCCTCAGGGCTTTCTGTCCTACACTGTGCCTTAAACATGGAAACTGTAGAAATGAATAGTGTATCCTTGAAACGTCCTCGCTCTGAGGATGATGTGGCTAATGCAGACGAAATTAAAAGACAGAAGATCTCAGAGAAGTCTAAGACAGGGAACGACTCTGGGCAGAGCGTTGAGACTGTAACAGAACAACCTGACAAATGTCTGCTTGAGGACACGAAAAATGAAATAATCCCCAATGAGGAAAGTGAGGAGCAGGAAGATGAGGAACTAGAGGACAGTGATGAAGATGGAGATCCAGAGAGCTTTGCAGACATGATGAAGCATGGACTGACAGAAAGTGATGTTGGCATAACTAAATTTGTTAGCTCTCATAAAGGGTTTTCTGGAATCTTGAAAGAGAGGTAACTCTTTGTCTTGTTATGTATGTTAATTCCTTGTGTTAAGCAGCTGTTGTTCTCCATTTTCCTTTCTGACTCGCAGGATGCAACTGGATTATGTGCAGCCACTTGGGAGGTTCATCACTGTCTTTTCCTAGTGCTGAGACTGAAAGAAGGGTTTAATTTGGGACTTTTCTAGATTTTTTTTGTCTCTTTTGTTTCCCTTCTTTCCTGTCAAATGGAGCTCTGAAGAAAGAAGCTGTGTATGGATAGAAATACACAATTACACTGACCTTTGCCATTTGACTTGCTCTCTGGCAGCAGCATACAGCATAAAACCTTGTGCAGTACACTCACCTTTTGTACCGCTCTTCAGTGCTGATACAAGATGCACTGGAGAACAGCATTAAAACGACCCTGCTTTGGTTCTTCTTTGCTTTTCCCTGACTTTTTTGTGCTAATGTCTTTAAACATGTGTTTTGTCAGATGGTCCATTGGGCTTTAAATTATAGTCTGATCAGTTGCAATGTCATTTACAAAACATAAAAGGGAATTTCACTCAGGGTGTGGAATTTTACATTATATCCTTCAGAAGATGTTTGGGGTTTAGTAGCTTTTTTTTAATATGAAACATCTAGGTTTTTTTAAATTAAATAACATCTTTGAATAAAACAATGCAAATACAAAACCTCACTGATGTGAGAATCGTTGTTGCCCTGACTTAGCAAAGCAGTTAAGGATGCTTTATTTACACACCAAGAATTCCCTGTTTTTAAATACTGGCTTCATATATAGATCATTTTACATAGTAAAGTGATATGTACATATTATGTATGTATTTAAGCTTTATGTGCAGCATTAAGCAGCTAGCATAATGCTTCACTGGGGAAGACAGTGTGTGCTGAGCCTCCTTCTGGGAAATCTGGCAGTTTTGAACCAAGGTGGCCAAAGGAAGTCAGGTGGTAGAAATGTTTGTGGGTTCATGGTTTTTCTTTGATCCTAGTTTATAACACCTATCGTTAATTTAGTCCTGGTGGTTTTATGGTACCAGTCACTAGCATGTTTAGACAGCTCCAGATAATAAGAGTGAGTGCACAGCCCTCCTCAGGAAGGAATTCTACCCATACGATGTATGACAAACGGGGGCTTGGGGGAGATACAGGAGAAACATTCCCATGCTGAAGTTTTATTCATCTTTCAACATTCATTGACCAAGCCTAAGAATTTTTTTTCTTTTTTTTTTTTCCCTTTACGAGCAAGTGCTACTTAAATCATTTAGCAATTGCAACATAGACTGTCTGTACTCTGTTGAAGTCAGGATGTTTTTATTATTGGAGATAGTGACTTGATGGAGAACATCACAGTCAAATTCTTTGTTGCTGTCATAGAGTATGCAGAGTAACTTTATTTGAAAGTTGTTCTCTACAATCGAATATATGTAATGGAGCTGAATTTGTCCTGCTTTCCTTGAAGAGTGGGCAACGTGCACTTTATTCTGCCGGTTATTATTTGAAGTGACAGAGTTAATGCATTTGTGCTCGCAGTGTAGCAACGCAGTAGAGTCTTAATTGTCAGTAATGGCTGGGACTGAGGATATGCATTACTGATATCTGCAAGCTAGTGAGAAAATGATTCCGACTAACGACAGCAGGTGTTTGGTTATCTGCAAAGAAGTCTACTGTGTTTAGATATGCCAGACTTTCTCCTGTGTTCTCCTGGTGTCCTTCTGGGGGGTGGGAATAGGTACAGCTTTCTCATGGTTGAAGTTTCTTTTATGTGAATTATGTGAATTCAGAATTCTTGAGTGAATTCTGCTAACAAACAGCTTCTTGGGAAAGGACTTTATGTGATGTGAAATTTTTTTTTTTTATTATTATTGCAAATTTAATGCATGTTTCTTCCTATCAGATATTCGGACTTTGTTGTCCATGAAATAGGCAAAGATGGACGTGTGAGCCATTTAGATGACTTTTCTGTTCCAGTGGATGATGAGGTAAATTTTGAGGTAAAGACTGGGTAATGGCTATGCTCCTTGAGCAAAAACATTCAAAGGCTGAAAGTTGTTCCGTGAGGGTTATTTGGTGTTTGTTTTCTCCCCACCAAATATGTATTAGGACCCATCAGAAGAAACATTTACAGTTTTGTCAGATGAAGACAAGAAGCGTTTAGAGGAGCTCCAGCTTCTTAAGAATAAGGAAACTAGTGTTGCCATAGAGGTAAAATTAATAAATTATCTGAAGCTGGGACTGGGGGGGGACAATGAGAGAGTGAGTGGAAGGTACACGCTTTCTAGTGTATATGAGGGATAAGAGCAGTCTGAACATGATGCAACAGGTAATGCTGAAATGTTTCCAGTTTAGGGTTTAATTCTGTAAAGCCTTACAGATATACTCAAATTCATGCACATGAGTTGTTGTTTTGATTTCAGTGGGACTGTACACATGAACTCAAATACATATCTTAATTTTTGTGGTGTTAAAATTTTCTTGCAGTATTTTGGTTTTCCATCTAGTAGTATTTTATAGAATAATTATGTAAGAAGGATTAAATAAAACATCTATCCTGATGAAAGACTGTTTTCAAGGTCAGTGTTTAGTGATTTAATAGAAAAGAAGATCAGTATGCTCCTCTGTAACAAGAAAAATAAGAAGTTACAAAATGAAATTAAAACTGTATTTTTAAGCATCCAAATATTCCATGTACTTGAAGAATAACTGTTGAGCTACAGAGATGAGTAGGATTAAATCTGGTAATTTCAAATAAGCATTCACACATTAAATAATCTTATCTAGCTTTTTTTTTTTCCTTTAATGCATATAGAAAAACTTAGTTTTGCCAGAGTTTTCATTAGAAGAGGGAATTTTATTAAGCACAGAAGAGGGGAATAAATCTTGAGAATTTTCTTTTGTGAATGTTGAGACTGGGGTTTGTAGCAGCTATTTATTATTTTTCAAACTAATTTTAATAAGTAGGACAGACTTTTAAAATTATACCTGTTCAGTATTTTAGTGTGATTTGGTAGGTTTTCTTTAAGCATGCAGAATTTAACTCTGAGAGAATCCCTCCCCTTTTGTGTTGCTTTACTTGGTTTCTGCATGCATGTGTATTAACACAGGTAATTGAAGACACCAAAGAAAAAAGAACAGTTATCCATCAGGCTGTGAAATCCTTGTTTCCTGGACTGGAGACTAAAACAGAAGATCGAGATGGAAAAAAATACATTATTGCTTATCATGCTGCTGGGAAAAAAGCACTGGCAAGTGAGTTTCAGTATCACAGCAGTTGGGTAAAGTACATGTGAAAATTATCCCCAAAATAAAAATGGTTAGTAAGTACTTGAAGTAGAGCGTACCTCCTAATGTAGTCTGGCTTTGCTTTTTCCCTTTGCAACTGATGCTGTGCATCTAAAATGGCTAGGAACACAAGGAGTGTCTCAGATTTAAATTTCTACTTGTTTTTCTTTCCAAAGCATTCATCAAATACAACCGTGTTGGAAGCGAGAGGATCTTTTGCTATGTCAGTGGGGATAGGCAGAATAGGGGCTTTATTTTCAGTATTGTTTGAACTTAGCTGTCATAAACTTACTGGCTGTGTAAGTGTGCATTGTGAAAGTAAGAAAGTAGCTGAAACACGTATGTTACACAGACAGTCAGGGTAATCTTGACTGTCTTGAAAATCCATGACAAAATTCTCAATGACTTGAATAGAGACAAGTACCTATTTGTTTTCTCAGAGTTACCGTTTTATGTAAACATGATATATTTACCATGATCTGTGAGGCTACTTCTGCTTCCATATTTGGAAGCAAAATACTACTTCTACGTTGTCTTCTATATTTGCAGAAAATTGTCTTTATTCATTATAAATCACAGTTACTATTTTGGAATAATCAAAATAATGAAGGATTTTCAGAATGAAGTGTTACCCACCTTAATCTTGCCAAATACTGTTTTGGTTACTGGGGATAAATTCATGTGTTCTACAACTTTTAATGTTATTACAAATTTGTTGCTCCTGTAAGTTGAGAGGATGCAGAATGTTGCACATTTAACAAAAAGTATTAAGGTTTGATTTGAACTGATTGCATTCCTATGTCGTTTCAACCTACTACAAGTGACAGTATGTAAACCTAGCGCTTTCATGTTAAAGATGAAGGAGATGGACATAAGATAATTTAAAATTGGAAATAACACCATCTCCACATTCAATTTAGTTAATATTTTTTAAGGCTTATTCTAAGCAAATAGGGGAATCTTGTATTTTTATTGGTACAATTACAATATGTTTATGTATCTTGTTTAACCATGTTTAGAAAATTTGTATGTTTGCATGCTTTATGCATGGAGTGTGCATACTTACCAGCACAGAATTCTCCTCAGTCAGTTTTGTTCTCTGTTGGTTTGTAATGGTTTTACCTCCACCTTTTCTTTCCGCTGCTTTTGTTCTTCAACCATTGTTACAGTCAAGTGGTCGGTACTAAGCTGCCCAGTCTGATTTAAGAGATACTATATAAAAGAATTGAAGTATTTGAAATATGCTGAAAAGAATTTAGTGATGTGTCTCTAGGATTAAAATATTATCTGGAGCACCATCTTGTGATGCAGAGAAGCATCATATATTTAAACTTGACTTCCGAAGTCGTGATACTACAAAGACCTGTACATGTTGGTGGAGATGTGTGCAGTTTCAGTGAGTGTGTGTAAATGTTTAGGAATGTAGGTTTTAAGAGTGCAAGTTCTTTTTAGTCAGAATTATATTTCTTTCATGTTTGTTGTAGCCACTAACATGTCTTAGTCTTGAGTTGGTTCCCCAGGCAAGAAACATTTCAGAAGTGTAGAATATTCAAGTATTAGCTGAGATATCTGATTACTTTTGTTGATAATGTAAAAGGTTACCAAACATACTTCCCTAAAATTTAAAATTAGAAGCTGCTTTGTGTCTATAGTAAGTTTAATCCCCACATACTTAAAATAGTGCCTTACTAAATTGTCCGTAAGCTGCTGTTTCATCATTGTCCACAAATGAAGTTTGTTGCATCTCCGATTGAAGCTTTCCATATGTTCACTGTTTGCCTCTGCACGATTCCATTGCATAACTGTCTAAATTGCTGTCATCCACCACCTAACTGTTGGATGCTCCCAAAAGCATAAACAATCCCATAACCATAAACCTGCATGTTCACCTCTAAAACCCCTTTGACAGTCTAAAAATTAAATGCTGCTCTTTTGTGCTCTTTATGCTATGCACTGGGACAGAGGTCAGAACTGCAACAGGTAAGAGATGTTGACATTTCATGTTAACAAAATGAAATGACAACCATTACGACCTCCTAAATAGCGAGAAGACTGGCCAAGCTAGTAATTAATTCTTTAAAACACCCTACACATAAGCAATGCTTAAAATTCCCTGAAACAGCCTTGTGCTACCTTTTTCCTAGAGCAGTATATAGGCAGTAGTCATTCAATGCAGAGAAAGTCTGCCAGTAATAAATGACATGAATTATTGGTTTTGACAATACTGTTTGACATCTATGGTAAATTTTCCATTGATTTCATTACGCCAAGCCTTTGCCCTTCAGCCTTGTGTTTCAGACACCACTATCTGAATGTATACAACTTTAAAAGTGTATAACGGACATCCTGATATTTAAAAAGAATTTCCAGCCCTTGAGTTGCAGCAAAAGGTTTGGAAAAAGGGCTTGGAAATACAATTTTATGTCAGAAATGTAACGTGACTCTGACATGTAGCAATAAGGACTGCAGACGGTCTCTCTGGTCCATCTACCCAGTTGAATACTTTGAAGTATTGGGTGAGGAATAGTTAAATACCAGGAGCTGCAGCCTCCCAGTACTCAGCACGGCCGCAGTGATGCCCAAAGCACGAGGAGCCAATTGATATATATAGTGTGTATATTTACACTATATATGGTATCTATGGAGTCCTTTTAGTGTAGCCCAGATTGAGGCTCACTTTTTGAAGGGTGTTGGAATGACTCTGTGCAAGATGGCTTAGTGAAATTGAAAGAATGATTCCAGCTGGAGAAGACTTTCCACGCTCTGTCTTCCTCTCTTCCCTTCTAATTACTGAGTTCTTCATGAAGGACCTTGCTCTTCAAGCTGAATGCAGTGTTTCACTGACTGTGTTTAAGAGCAGTGGTGGCTCAGAAGGGAGACTAGCCAAGAGTATGAGGTCTGTTAACAGCTTTGGTCCAGTTTAGGTCCTAGGAAGCTCCACAGGGAGGGCTTTGCTTAGAAACTGATGGTGCAAGGCAAGTGTTGCAATAGTTTTTAAGTGGTTAAAGCCTACATGTATAGTATTTTATAGTGTAGCATCCAAAATGGTTTTTGCAGAAGTGTGTGTATGGATGGGCAGCTTCTCAAAAAAAAAAAAAAAAGGCAGGAAGAATTCTCTTTTACCAGAAAGTTTCCTGAAAATTAAAAATATTTGCTGTCTGTGTGGGATATCTGGGCTTTATTAAACTAATGTGAACAAAAAGAGCAAATTTCCCAAGATCTTCCTGCATTGGTGTTTATATACTGGAATAGGACTGGCTTTTTCAGTAAGCTTTTGCTGTTATGAAAGACGCTTAAGCCCTTATTGTACAAAACCAGGAATGTCTGCTTGGTGGCTACCAAGAGATAAGGGACTTCTTATTTAACACAAAACAAATCCTTAGTTTTGTTCCTATAAAACAAAGAATTTATAAACAAAGCACCTCAAAATTGGTTGCTAAACCTGTGTACAATCAGTCCCCTTTCCCAGTAATGCCAATAACAGTGGAGGATTGTAAAAGGCAAGTTTTACCTCTGGAGGCTTTTATGTGCAACAAAAGCTTGACAAATACATTGACAGTTTTCTTCCCTCTCCAGAAAATGCCAAATAATTGTACAGAATTGTAAATCCGTTGCTAGTCTGCGGGAGCTGAAGTTATCTCGCCCTCTGGGTTCTCTAAACACAGCACAGTTTCAGGCTTGAATTATTTGTCACTGTCTATTGTGCTAGACTTCTCTCTCCCATAGGACTTTAAAAACAATTCACCTTAAAGTAATCTTTTGTGAGTATACTTTTTTAGGCTTTTGTAGAGATACGACTCATGCTTTTGCATGACACACAGAAATATCCTACAGAAATAAAGAATATGCTAGTACTATAAATAATAATTGTAGTCTTCCCACAAACAGGGCTCCAGTGATCCTCATCTGTTAATTATAGGAGGCACTAGATGAAATGTGGAATGGCTTTTATTGCTGAAAGTCAGTGTAATGATAAGGTTTTTGAGAAATTTAATCAGGCAATATGGCAGTTAAATGACTAGGGTATATTTTTAGATAATTTCATGACAAAGGAACTGTCACCATTTCATTCAAGATTTTCTAGGAGACAGAATTGATTAAAGAGAAGTTTACAGCCCAGCGGAAGGGGAGAAGGTCTTTTTCAATGTGCTTTGCACCTTTTGCTGTCAGTAATTCACTTTTTTCTTTTCTTTTTTTTAAAGCAGATGGAAATTAGCAGAAATTCTCTCTTGCATATTTGTTTTAAATGTAGCTGCAATGGCAAAGAATTAAATTAAAAAAATGACACTTCAGAAATGTTAACCTTTTGTTTTTAAAGATCCAAGAAAACACTCTTGGCCAAAATCTAGGGGAAGCTACTGCCACTTCGTACTGTACAAGGAGAACAAGGATACTATGGATGCCATTAATGTCCTGTCTAAATTTTTGAGGTAAGGCTGTTGTTTCTGCCAGCCTGGCTAGCATGCAGTCCTCTCCCATATGTTTCACATTACTGTAAATGATATGCTTCAAGACTTATGTAAGAGCGATACAAGCAATACTATTGCCTAATCTGTAGCCAGTGTTTAAAAAAAAAAAAAAAGATATTTTAGAATATTAAATTTGAAACTTGTAAGTTTTGGAAGGAGGTGAGAATGGAACAAAATGATCCCAAGAAATTTGAAAGACTGTATTCTGCTACTTCAGTGGAAAAATGTCCACAATTGAAGTTGGCTGATCTGAGAAAGGCTTGGCAGCTCAAAGTCTCGATGTGCATAACCTGAATTAAAAGCCTTTTTTCCCCCACTGTGTGAATATATGCAAGTATGTTATGAACCTGTCAGATACTGTTGTGGCAATATGCTGATCAGTTCCTAAGCAGTTACAGTTTATAAACTGTTGTTCCATGTATTAATTTCTCCATGGCAACTGTTCCATTAGTTCCTGTCACCCCATCAAGTGTAGCAACAAAAGGATTTGCCAAAGGCGTGATGTGAACATAGTGAATTGTAGAGGAAGGACTGTTTTAAAATTGAGTCAATTCAGTGATCTACTTGTAAAACTTCCCCGCTTCTCCCCTCCTTTTTCCTTCGCCATTCCTGTACAAAAATAAATGTTTGTAATCTAGACTCTAACCAGTATACTACTAGTATTTGTGTTTGAGAACACAATGGTAGGAGGGTAGTTTGGTGGAAGAATGTGTGTCATGGCA